ACATTGATTCTGGATCAGCCATTCAACATTGTATTATTATTTCTTGTATGAATAAGAGAAGGGGGAGATAAGGAGGAGGAGATTGTTGGGCGAAGAAGGAGCCTTGTCATTTGTTTATGCTGGTGTACATCATCTTCTTTTTTTTTCTTACTTCTTCTTCTTCTTCTAATCCTCTCTCTTCTCTCAAGTTCATTCATTTCTTTCTGCAATTGGGTGGCGTTGTACTATCTGATGGATGTGTATCTCGAAATTGGCCAGGATCATAACGGTTAAGGAAAATCGCAATACCGCAACAACTGAAATTTTCGATTTCGCTTTTCTTCTGAAAATTCAAAATTTCATTGTTGAAAGTCCGGAATATCTTTTTTTTGAAAATTTCGATTTCCTTTTGCAATTTCTCGTTATTTGGAAATCCGGAATATTTTATTCCGAAATCCGTTTTTTTGAAAACGGTACGGGAATCCCTCTTGCAGTTATCATTCTCCAACTGCGCATACTCTCATCTGAGTAATTCCGAATTTTCTTTTGTACTTCATTTTCGGAATTCTTTTATCAGAAAATCATTTGCGGTCTGAAAGTTCAAAAAAAAATTCTCATTGATAATTTCGCACTTCACGGGAATTGCAAACGAGTATTTTTTTCTTTTTCTCGAAATTTTTTGCAAAGTTCGAACTTTTTTTTGATTAGTGGATCCTTATCTGGGCGATTTATCCCACCCCTCCCCACCTATGTTGTTGCCCCCTCTGATCTTCTCTCTATCTCCCTCCGGATACCCCCTGCAGCGACATTGGTAAGTTGCCACGTCAGCAGGCCACGTCAGCAACCAGTCACCGCAGCAACAGGTCACGTTAGTGCATGGTGCTCACCCGCTCAAAGACAAGCGGCATGGAGCAGCAGCAAGGCGAGACTACCAAGGCCTATGAGACCCGCATGTTGGACATGGTGGCAGAGTTCAAGCAACAGGCAGCTGCGGCAACATCCGCACGTAAGAAGGAAGATGAGGAAGCAGAGGAACAACGTCGCCTTGCTGAACAGCAGCGACAGGAGGACGCTGAGGCAGCAAGGAAGGCCGCAGACGAACGTCGTCGACTACCCCGAGACAAACTCCTCGAATGCGAGAGGGACATCGAGGTGATCGTCGGCGAATGGGCAGTGGCTGCTGAAGAGGAGGGTGCCCCCTCTGCTGTGCGTGGCCTGGCAACCATAATCGAACATGTGAGCGACTTGGTCGCCACCTCTGCAGCACAGCAAGAGGACATCCTCTGCGTGGACACCCTGGTTCGGAAGCAGATTCGAATTATTGATGAACTGCTTGACTCGGTACGCCGGCTGGAACAGCAGCTTGGAACAACCACCCCCGCTTGACCCTCCAACTTGACGGACCACGTCAACGTCTTGGAAATCAACGTTGAGACTCTCAAGGACGGCGCTCTAACGACAAATCAGCGGATCGACCAGCAGATTTGCGCTGCCGCAGCCAATCCGACCGCGACTAATCGCGAGAGCATGGTGGCGCCAGTTCGAGTTGAAGTTGGACATTTACCACGTCATAAACCCGAACCGGCACGCATACTTATACTCTCGCTCGGAAGGCGCGTGCCAGGCATGGCTGGACAACATGTTGTCCAGGCACAACGTCGCAGTCTCTGAGCTTCATACGAAGATCAGCTGGGCTGATCTCAAGGCAGCATGGCATAAGCGGTTCCAAGTGGAGCCGCCCGAGCTTCAGGCAGCCGAGAAACTTCAACAGTTCTATTAGAACGACCTGCCAAGCACGGACTGGATCATCGAGTACCAACGTGTGGCATCCATGCCCAACTTGCTGTCGACATTTGTCGCTATCAAGCACTTATTCATCATGAGGAGCTGCCCGGCGTTGCAGAACGCCTTGACGCAAGTTGCGAAGACGCTCACCACAAGTGAGCAACTTTTTTATAAAGCCTCGCAGATCATTGTGACGAACATCGAAGCCAAGAATTTTGGCCATTCATCTGTTGCAGGCCAGGGCAGAGGACAGCATCGGCCAAAAGTGGTCGTGGTCGCAGCAACTACAGCGATAGACCCTTCAAACGAGGCTGCCTCTTCTGAGGAAGGAGACAGATTGGCAGCCGCCTGGGATTGTGGCCGCCCCTCCAGAGGGCGAGGACGCGGCAAACCAAAGACACACACCAATTCAGCCCCCGGGGCCGGACCAGCGGCTCAAGAGCCTTGGACACATTACGGTATCTCGGAAGGCGTGTTCCGCATCCGTACGAAGTACCGATATTGCGTGTGGTGCAACAGCGCGGTGCACGACACCGCAACGTGCCCCACGCAAGTCAAAGGCAAATTCCCATCGGGAAAGTGAGCACCGCCGAAAGTGATGCGGCTGCACTCTCGACACCTTCGAAATCGGTTGCTTTGCGAACGACCTCTCTTCATTCTGAGGCACATGCGGAAGTCGACAGTCCTCTCTTGTATTCTTACGAGGACTATGCTGCCCGGCTCGTTCCTTCGCTGGGTTCTCAAGCTCAAGGACAAGATGTGTGTGCGGCTTCTTCTCAGTCCGGCAACAACAACAATGGATCGTCTTCAAGTGGTTCTTCAAGGGATTCGACGCACGAGTTCAACATAGAGGTCTTGGACCTGTTGACGTCCGAGGATTTTGCATGGCTTCCTCTCCCTTCCACAGGCTGCTTGCCGGGACCGCAATGCGCAGCACTATGCGCCCATCTCCACACATGCTTAGCCTTCTATGCACCACCATCTTCGCCGACGGATGACGAAGTTGCGGTGGGGGACATCCTTGCGTATGTTACCAAGGTGGCCCGCGAGTTTCACATGCAGCGGTACGATGATAACAACGCACCACTCCTTTATGTCCGCATCCAAGTTGGGCAAGCGTCCTGCAGCGCTTTGCTGGATAGCGGCGCGACTCACAATTTCATCAGCCAGTCCTTTATCCAAAGGGCCAGCCTTGGCGCACAAGTTTGAAGGAAGCCAAACCCGACGGCGATCAAGTTGGCGGACGGTCGGACACAACAACTCCTCGATCGCTACATTGAAGTTGTGTCGGTTTATTTCGCACCTCATGCATACAAACCGGTGATGTTTGACGTCTTAGACACGGACTTCGACATTATTTTGGGGATGCCTTGGCTTGCAAGTGCGGATCACACGGTTAACTTCCACCAGCGGACACTTACCGTTCGCGACGCCTTCGGCGCCGTGTACCATTCCTCTTCCGCACTCCTCGATCCGGTGCCAAGTTGTAACGACCAAGTCTTTTCGGGCCATTTGCGCTTACGAGCGAACCGACGAGATAGGCCTATGTTTTCTACGAGCCGCCGTGACGACCGAATTTTCACCTACAGACTTGTCTTCGGACCCCCGAGTGGTGCGGTTGCTCAACGAGTTCACCGACATCTTCGAGTCTCCTACCTGTGTGGTGCCGGATCGGACGATCTCCCACGAGATCAATCTTGAGGCCTGTGTCGTGCCGTCGAAAGGATACATCTATCGAACAAGCGAGGAAGAGCTCGCGATTCTCCGCGCTCAACTCGACGATCTTTTGGACAAGGGCTGGATCCGCCCTAGTAGCTCACCATACAGTGCGCCAGTTCTCTTCGTACGGAAGAAGAACAAGGATCTTCGCTTGTGCATCGACTACCGCAAGCTCAACACACAAACCGTCAAGAATGCAGGACCTCTTCCGCGGATTGACGACCTTCTCGAGCATTTGGGCGGCGCGAAATTCTTCTCAAAGTTGGACTTCAAGTCGGGCTACCATCAAATCTCAATACGCCCACAAGATTGCTACAAATCCGCGTTCAAGATGCGGTACGGGCATTTTGAGTGGATCGTTCTGCCTTTTGGCCTCACCAATGCCCCAACGACCTTTCAAGCGGCCATGACCAACGAGTTTTGTGCGATGCTGGACCGGTTCGTACTAGTCTACTTAGACGACATTCTCGTCTATAGCCGGACATTGGAGGATCATCTTGAGCACCTTCGACGAGTGTTGGAGACGCTCCGCCGCGCCAAGTACAAAGCCAACCGCGGCAAGTGCGAATTTGTCCGGCAAGAGCTGGAATACTTGGGCCATTTTGTCACACCGGAGGGCGTCAGTCCATTGTCGAACAAGATTCAAGTCATCCAAGAGTGGCCAGAGCCGAAGACCGTCACAAATGTCCGTTCCTTCCTTGGCTTAGCCGGCTACTATCAATGCTTCATCAAGGGATACTCGAAGATCGCGGTTCCTTTATCCAAGCTTCAATGCGAGGACCGGCCATTCGACTTCGACGACAATGCGCAGACTTCCTTTTTGGCTCTCAAAGCCGCATTGCTATCCGCGAAGGTGTTGCACATCTACGATCCGCTTTTGTCGACACGTGTCACTACCGATGCGTCCGACTATGGCATTGGTGCCGTTCTCGAGCAACATGACGGTGTGGACTGGCATCCGATCAAGTACTTTAGCAAGAAAGTGCCCATCGTGCACTCGATTGACGATGCACGGAAGGAGGAATTATTGGCCTTCGTACACGCGCTCAAGGGCTGGCAGCATTTTCTTCTCGGTCGACGGCAGTTGTGATAGGTAACGGATAACAATCCATTGGTCTTCTACAAGACCCAAGACACGGTCAATAGCACCATTGCCCGTTGGATGACCTTCATCGACCAGTTCGACTTTTTCCCCGACCACATTTCGGGCAAGTCAAACCGTTTTGTGGATGCTCTTTCACGACGTCCGAACCATTGTACCGCAGTCTACTCAACTTTTGAGATTAACGACTACTTGCAGGACAGCTTCATCCGCGGCTACCAAGTCGACCCCGAGTATTGCGATAAGAACACAAATTGTTCCTCTCCTAATCCGGCGCTGTACAGCGCATCGGTCCGGCACCTCACGCGGCAGCGCGGGACCCTCTCGGCCGCGTCACGCAGGAGTTGGACCAACCTCGTCGCTAACACACAAATGGAGCTTCCTTAGGCCGCTCCGGCCGAGTGCGCCAGCCATACCTCTCGCGAGCCCCTACGACAGGATAGGGCCTACGCGAGGCACAACTTACCTCCACCTTACGGGAGTTGTCACCTCCCTTCGGTGGGCGTATCCCCGCCGAGCTACCAGCCCATAATACGAAAGCTAATCAGTTGCAATCGCAGAGGTGGACCAGCCGAGGGCGTTTCTCGTTCGTTGTAGCATAGGGGGTATGCGCGGTAATACGCCTATCGGACCCGCACGCGAACCGACATCTTGGGGGGCTGAAGTCCCAAGCGCGGTTCGTCGCCGGTCGACTAGGACACATCCCACACACCACGCGCACACCACTTTACGAACGCAAAAATAAAACACACACGCACCCACATACGAAACGACACAACACAAACAACGCAACAACGCTCCTAGCCCCTCGGTAGCCATCCCATAACTTTCCGATGCGGAAATCGGACAAGCGTCACGCGCGAGACTTGATATAAAACCGCGCGGACATAGGGCTATCTCATATCGACTCGCAATGCAAACGTGCGCAAGCAGTCGCAATGATGGCGTACTATGTAGTGCCCATAATCAAGCGGTCCCTCGTGGATCCGAGTACCGCTTATGACACTCAAGTGTCAGACTCGAAGTGTCGCGAGGGTCTAAACCTTCACGACATTGCACGGCTGAAGGAATAGTCGTGCAGCCGCCGCGAGACCTCCGGCCTTTGGTCTGAGCGTCTCGGCAGGCAAGGCAAATAGGTTCTGCACAGGGGCAGATTCCTTCCCTGCAGAGTCTAGGGCTGGGGATGTCCTGGACAAGGACCTTGAATCCCGGCCCAGGACCAACGCCCGACTATAAAAATCTCTAAGAAGCAAAGGATAAAAAAGGTTCTCCCTTTTTCCCTCAAGCCATAATCTGGCTAACCCTTGCGCACGATCACAACAACCCACGCGCATACCCAATATATATATATAAGGCTTATTTATATAGGGCGATCACTTCTCACAGTCACAGTGGGACTCCTCTCAGCCATATATGTATGTAAGCGCAAGCAGCCACATCCAGAAGTCGAACCACAACCATACCTGCAATCACATCAAAGATTCATCCAGAAGTCCACGCACTACACGGGATCAACTTTAACCATTCCTTGCACTCATACCCCTCGCTTCAACCATACAAGCCTCACTCGTGCAACTCTTAAATAAATACTCAGTACCTTTGTTGGATGACCATTCAATAAAGTCCGGGTAAAAACACAACGAAACAGTTCAAGTCTCAAGGCTAAAGCCTTTAGGTTGAGGGGCAGGAGTGAATTGGAGTTGAATCGTAAACCGACGAATCGACAACCGACCTGTTACCAGTGATAACAGAAGATGATCCTCGTAGGATCGAGCTGAATCTAGTCCAAATCCCGAATCAAACGATCCTGAGGACCTGTAACATATGACAGGCCAATCCCCAAGCTAAACCTATAAGTCCTTGGAGGGTAATCACGATCTCACTCTAAAATCTACCTAACTAACTAGGCTTAAACCTATCCTTAGCAGTGCCCAGAGCAAAGGTAGACTTTGGCAAAGTTTCTTCTATACAGAGTGGACCGCCAGAATCGCCATCTGTCAAAATATAATCTATCTCCTTTAAACTAAGAAAATTTCGGCAACGCTTCCCGTAGGAAAAGTGCCTTTTCAAAATTTATATTAGCCCGAATATGAAAGCAGAAATAAACTCCAACTCTGGAAAGTCAAATTTTGTCTAACTCCCTGAATTGGTATAAATTTGGACAACATTCCCTTTAGAAAGGAAGGCTTCCCAGATTTATACTAAGTCAGATCCGAACTCAAAAACAACCTTGAGTCCGATTTAGACAAGATTTAACTAATTCCTTAGTTTTGCAGAAATTTCGGCAACACTCCCTTTAGAAAAGCGCTACTCCAAAATCTGTACAAGGCTAAGTTCAGAATCTGAAAATAACTTTTGACTTCTCAAAGTCCAATTTTGTCTAACTCCCTGAATTAGCAAAAATTTGGGCAGCACTCCCTTTAGAAAAGGAGACTTTCCAGATTTTTACTAAGTCAGATATAAAGAGTAGATAAGTTTGAACTTTGACAAGCCAAAGGTTGACTAACTCCTTGGATTTGTAGAAATTTCGGCAGCGCTTCCCGTAGAGAAAGTAGCTTACCATAATTTATACAAAGCCAAGTATAACAAAAGATCCCAGAAAATGCAAGAATTGACCTAACTCCTATCGCTCTAGCACGTGGCGAGCCTCTAAAGCAACTACCTATCAACCTGAAACTTCAGCCAAGTAGTAGCCTCCCTCAGTCACATGCAGGTCAAACCACGAAGGTAAGTACTCTCGCCATCCCCAAGTCGACCTGAACAAACAATAGTTCATGATCTCTCAACGATTTAACCCGTTATACCCAGCTTGCATAAGGCATAGGTCAAGCCACCTGAACTTACAGAGCACGCCCAGCTTAGCCAGGCCTAAAGTCAGAATACCTAAACTTATAGAGCGTTCTGACTTAGCCAAGTATACACAAACAGAGGGCACAACCACTTTTCTCTTCCTTGGGCATATGACTAGACCACTCTAGTTGCCCTGAACTGTTTAAGTAGCCAAGTTGTATATACCTCTCTGATCTTAGCCTTCTAAATGGGCATAGGGTTGAGCCGCTCATCTTAGAACGTTGCTCAGCCTGCCCAAGTTTACCTTCAGTTGTATCTCTTAAGATTCACTCTCTCCATTTCATGATAAGCTATAGCCAGGCCGTCCAATCTTATGGAACCCGTGTCTGACTAGCCTGTTCTTAATAAAATAATAATAACATATAGCCAGATTATACCATTGGGTTCCAGCATGTGCGAGGCTTCGAGTCAAACCCCCTGAACTTACACAAGGGTCTGCCTCTCCATCTGATTCCTTTCTCTCCGAGCCTTTCCGTGTGTGGCATTGGGTCAAGCCCCCTGAACTTACAGAAGGGCCTGCCCTTTGTCAGGTTCATTCCTCTAAAACAAATGCAGGAAGAGACTGAGCCACCTTAACTTACAGAACAGCTCAGCCCCCTCGTTGAGAAACAAAAGAAACTCAGGAAAACCCATAGAAACCAAGGCAACTCAAGGCACCGAAACTTATTGAGCGCCCTGAGTTCCTGAATGCTAATCACAGTCAAACTCCTCGCAAGTCAGAGCAGTCAGGACACCTAAACTTATAGAGCGTCCTGACCCTCCATGCAATTCACAGCACCAGGTCTCCCCAAACTTATGGGGGCATCCCAACCACCAGAACATTCAGGCTACCTAAACTTATAGAGCGGCCTGAGGCTCCATGCAAACCAAAATAAACAAAGCGTTGGGCTTCCCCAAACTTAAGGGGACCTCCCAGCCTCAACAACCCAATCATTCTGCACATAATACTGCCTTCCTCCCAGCCTTCCCCCAGATGCAACCCTCTTTCGCTCACGATCTGCCTTCAGTCAAACAACAAACTGAAACTGAGACACACGTTCCTTTACTTAATCTGAATTCAGATCCTGAACGTCAAACCAAAGTCAGAGTACAGGATTCACGCCATACACTCAGTCAGCGTAGAAGGATGTACAGATATGGGCTATAACTGGGTTTATAAAAGGAGCCGGGAGGTTACCACTTAGTTCCCTGCCTCCAGGACTCCGCCTGAGCCCCGGCAGAGCTCCCGCAATCGATGGGGCAACCTCCCACAGAGGCCTTGGCGCGGACTATGGGCCACCCGCCCGCCTGCCACCTCCTCTCAGAGCCAAAGGACTAGACTTAGAGGGAAGAAGGCAGAGGGGGAAAGAGTAGACTCTCATCTAGAAGGGCAACTCAGACTCGCGCGAGAGGACCTTCAAGTCTTCAGCGCCTGAGGGCCCCGCAATGGCAGCCAATTGCACGGGCTTGACCAAATCAAAGCCAAATAGCTTCTCTTCCCAACATAATCACCCTTCTGATAACTGTAGCCACGCGACATTTAAACAGCCATACTTAGCTTATCCACTCCGTATGCATCGCGCTCAAGGTATAGAGTGGCGCACTAGAATGCAGTGGGAACGTAGTGGGGGTAGCTTTGAAGCAAGTGTTCAGCAATCCGCACAACCGTACCCACAGCCAAGCACCGGGGAGCACAGCCGCACCCACAGTACCACCAGTCAACAGCACCAAGTGGCTTGCTTAAGTAGCAGCAGCACAGCCAGCCCCCTCTGAGCAAAACAACGCCCTCCTCGGTACTGCTCGCAGTTCAGCAAGCGAGAAAGTCTCTGCCCCGCCAATGCTCACAAGCCAATCACCTCACCAGCTACGAACAGCCGTGCACCGCCACCCATAAATTCAAGAAAGAGCCCTCAATTTGTCAACCCTCGCTACCCCCCTCTGCAGGCCGGGGAAGGCCCTTATCGACAACAGCTAGTCGGTGATCGGACACACAAGCTCGAACGAACATGCCCCATAATACAGGTAAGGTTCATTCCATATCTCTGAACCAACTGACTACTTGTAATATCTTCAGATCTACCCATTAGTAGTCGAACCCGACTTTATGATCCATCTCGCAATCACTGAAAACCCCAATTTTGCCTTTCCCTTCGCCCGATTTTGTCACAAATCGACTAATATTTCGACTCTTCCTTCCCACCGGTTCCTCTTTCGCCATAGCTTAGCACCCCTAT